CGAGAGGAGACGTGTGCGGGGGGGGAATAACTCCCCAAACGCAATATGATGCCGAGGATTTACTTCACTGCCTTAGTGGCTATCTACCGTTCAGCCCGGCTTACACCCCTTGAGTACTCGTCCTCCCAATTGACAATATATTCATTTGCGAGGGCATATGATAAAACCTTTTTCATAAATCTCGTTTATTAAAAAGAGATTAAAACACCAAATGAGTGAAAGAACATGAAAACACTAAAAGAATAAAATAACACGGAACAAAAACGTGAAAACACTAAAAGAACATAAAAACGTAAACCACACAAAAAAAAGAACATAAAAACATTAAAACACTAAAAGAATAGAACATGAAAACGTTAAAACACACAAAGAACTAGAACCGTGAAAAACACGAACATTAAAAGAACTTCAATAAAAGTTAAGATAAACACTAAGAAAACACTAAGAACACATGAGCTTTAGAATAAAAATTGACTTGAGGCACCAGTCTATTAGATCACTGTTTATCTACATTTGCATGAATTTCTCCCGATACCTTAACTTGGAAGATTCTCACGACCACTTAGCTGTTCTAGTACAGGAGGCCCATTCCGGGGTTCCTCAACAAGTGCTCCCTCCGACAACCCACAGCAAAATCCCCCTGTCACGCCTCCTTCGTTGTCTGAGGATAGTTCGTGGCGCGAACAATAATAACTCAGGCGGGGAATGCCTTTTCTCATTAGAGTAAAAAAATTATCTTAAAATAATAAAAAACATGGCAAAAATAAATGTATAAAAGTAAAAACTAAAATAATAAATACTGAAGTTAAAAAGATAAAATGATAAAATTGCCTCCTTCTCGTTGTTTTGTTCATTGTTATTTGTTTGCTCATTCTTGTTCTTGTGTGGGATATAAATGATAATATAAAATAAAACCTTTAATAATTGCTAAAACAAGTAGAAATACAATAAAAATGATAAAAGAGGAGGTAGGTAGGAGCCGCGTTTTCTTCTCTTTCTTCTATGCAGGCGCGGAGCTTCGGGGTAAGTGTTGAGCATCCTCACCCCCGGGAGATAAAACGATCCGCCTTTCTTTCTAGGGTGACATTTTTCCTGATTTTCTTTTCTTAGGCCTGCGGGAGAGTGAAAAGTGAGAGAGTGTTTTCGTCACGACGGTGAACTAGTGGTTCACGACAATTACCCTTATACTGTGGCGTCGCTGGAGCAGCAAGAACAAGGTTCCTTTTACATGCCAGTTTGGATATTGCTGGGCGTGCGCATTCATGTTAACCCCAGGGTTTAAAAAGTTTCACAATGGCCAGCACCAGCCAAAGATACCCCATTCCTTTTTTTTAAGTGAAAGTAATTTTATGTATCCGTTCCTTCAGAGTTTTTTTTATCGTATTTATATTTTTATTTACCCGTGGTGCTTTGTTTTTACTTTCTTTTTATTTATGAGATCAAGAACAACTCAGCCAGACCCATTTTCTAAGGGAGGCATGGGACAGCGTCTCCACACAGGGGAAGTGAGCGGGCCCCTCCCTCCTTCTTTCGGCCCGAAGCCACCATCCTCAGCTTGGGTGGATGATCTTTCGGGCTTCCACTCGATAGAAAACCTTACAATATATATATACATATATAATCATTTTTGTCTTTATTCTCAATAAGATTCATGATTTATTTCCGTTTCTTTTACCCGATCTTTCGTCTTCTTTTATTATTTTTGTTCAAAGGTTTCCAAAAAGGGAAGTTTCGACACTAAACTCGTCTTCGCCTCAGCAACATCTCGTACTTCCGTCTCATTAACACAAAACTTATATGACTCTATATTCTCTCTCTCTCTCTCTCTCTCTCTCTCTCTCTCTCTCTCTCTCTCTCTCTCTCTCTCTCTCTCTCTCTCTCTCTCTCTCTCTCATTCTCTCTCTCTCTCATTCTCTTTCTCATCTTACTCTACACCCTCTCTCATTCACATTCCATCTCTCTCTCTCTCTCTCTCTCTCTCTCTCTCTCTCTCTCTCTCTCTCTCTCTCTCTCTCTCTCTCTCTCTCTCTCTCTCTCTCTCTCTCTCTCCTTACTCTACACCCCTTCTCATCCACATTCCATCTCTCTCTCTCTCTCTCTCTCTCTCTCTCTCTCTCTCTCTCTCTCTCTCTCTCTCTCTCTCTCTCTCTCTCTCTCTCTCTCTCTCTCTCTCTCTCTCGCCAAAGTCAAATTCTGAGGTGAATAGGTTTATAGCTTGTGTTTCGTCCTGACTTCGAGTTTTACACCATATTTGCAACCGTAATTCTCGGCCATTGATCTAACCACACCACTTCCTGTCATAAGATAAAGCTGATTTCATAGAAAATGGGGGTGAAAGTATTACATTTTGTTGAGGTGGCGAGTTCGCATTTCCCATTCTCAACGTTTCTCTCTCACACACACACACATATATAAATATGTGTGTGTGTGTGTGTGTGTGTGTGTGTGTGTGTAAATAATGTAGATATATAAATGAATACTTACGTTATATATATATATATATATATATATATATATATATATATATATATATATATATATATATATACATATATACATATACATATATATATATATATGCATATGTACATATACATATATATATACATATATACATTTGTACTTGCACATATATACATGTATATATATATGTATGTACATGTATGTAAATCATTTATCTGTCATGCATCTAAGTAGTAGATACTGAAGACCCGCGGGAGCCTCAAGTCTGGCCTTAAGATCAATGCCCTCCTTTTGATCTGTCGCTGTCTGTGCAGTTCTCATTCTCGAGGTCGACCTTGACGTTCCCTCGATGAAGG